TTTGACAGGTCAAATATGATGCATGTACACTATTTCTAACGTGTAATAAAGTATTGACCGTCCATACATATAAAAATCATAAACTAGTGACGCTCTATACAAATAAGAAAAAGAAAAAAAACAAATATATAAGAAAAAAATTCGTCATAGGTGACGCCATACATTACGTGTGCATGTGTTGTTTTATTCAAACTAGATAGGAAAAAAAATACTCAGCTACACGAAGTATGACGGAATACATGGCTACACATGTCAAGTTTAAAAATATACAACCAACTACACGAACTAAATGTATTGCATGCCCACATATACCAACTATATAATGACATGTGCTTAACATCACGAACATTTATTCCGGTACACTAATCAACGAAATCCGGCGTTGACCATTGTTGACCGGTATTGACCGGCATTGACCAACAAAAATATTCAAAATTTTTTTTAGTAATTAGTTAATTTTTTTAGTATTGACCGGTAGTGATTTTAATAATTAGTTAATTTTTTTAACTTCAAAACTAAACTAAAAGTGAAATGAAATAAATTTTATTATTTTTTTTAGAAAAATTGAGTATATGACTCTTTAATCTAAAGTTTGCATGTTTAAAAAATATGAAGTTTATTTTGCTAAAATCAAAATCATAATACATAGTTAAAACTTAAAAACATAGAAAATTTTACATACTCTTTAGTCTAACTTTAATATATTATTAATTTATGTAATTACAATTATTAACAAAAATTTCGTAATAACGGATAAATAACAAAAAAGGTCGTAATTTGTATTTTTTAATATATAGCAAATAAAAAATCTAACGATATTGATTTTAGCAGAAAGATATATAAAATAAGAAGTTAATGTTTTTATTGACAATGTAAAAATAAGGAATTCGCTTAATTATTTTTATTTCACTTTTATTTTAGTTTTGAAATTGAAAAAAACTAACTAATTATAACAATCAATTTATTAAATATATATACGAAATTTAAATAAGTTGAATATACTATATAGAATGTGTGACCGTCTTTAATTATACAATACAATAAAAGATTTAATAGAATAATTTTGGTTTTGTTTTTAAGGATAAAATATAAGAAAATTGAATATTTTTGTTGGTCAATACCGGTCAACGATGGTCAACGCCGGATTTCGATGATTAGTATACCAGAATAAGATGTTCGTGATGTTGACCACATGTCGTCATATAGTTGGTATATGTGGGCATGCAATACATTTAGTTCGTGTAGTTGGTTGTATATTTTTAAACTTGGCATGTGTAGCCATGTATTCCGTTATACTTCGTGTAGCTGAGTATCTTTTTTCCAACTAGATATTCATTATAGTTAAATTTCTTGCCATGATTTGGATTAAATTATAACTGGAATGTATTTTTATAAGAATTTAGGTTCGATGAGTTAAAAGTAGCTAAAACAGGATTAAAGAGAGAACTTGAACATTTGCATTTTGCAGTGTTAACAAAAAAAAAGTAGGAAAAAATCACCAATTCGTTGAGTACACTGCAAATTTTTATCCATTAAACAAATAATTAAACATTTTGGGAACTCTCTAAATCTTATAATGATTTGAATTTGATTATTAAATAGTACTATTATTAATGATTGTTATGATGATGCCACACATTATCCATTACTCTTCCGTTTCAATTTAGTTGTCGTTTTAGAATTTAAATTTTGTTTCATAATAGTTATCGTTTTAGGTTTTCAATGTAAATATTTGGTGAAAATTCCAGTTTTATTCCTATTGTTTTAATGTTTTGGCCAATGAAATTTTTTATAAAATATATTAATAAAAAGTAAAACAAAAAATTTAATGCTTTTCTTAATTTATGTGAAAAAATCTTAAACGACAACTAAAACGAAACAGAGGGATTATTTAATTTGTTTTAATGAAATGCATGGGGAAAAGCTAAATTGAAAGACTCTTGTCATGTGATGAAAATCCCTTACTTCGTGGGTTGCGATATCTCTTGCGTTTATTTTTGACCGTCCGATCTTCTCATCCAAACATGTGTAGTCATGTTCATTGATTATTTATCTAACCATCGATCTATATGTATATAGATCGCCATATGAATGATTTTTACTCAAAATAGTCTTTAAAATTTATTTGTGTTTAAACCTAGCTTTCAATTTTTCAACTACCAGTTTCTATTAAAGCATTTACTATAAGTTTATATACATATGGGTTTCTACTTTCTACTGATAGAGTGTGCCCATGCTAACATAAATGTCATATAGTTTTTATATGAAATTCGAACTTTAATAGCAAAAGAGTAAGAATCGTTCCAAATTGTACGCAAATATAAAAACAAAAGTAAGTTCAACATTATCGATACTTCATCCGTTTCAAAATGTAAGACGTTTTGTGGTATTATTTTTGTTTTAAAATGTAAGACGTTTTCAAGTTTCTATGCAAATTATATACTCCATCCGTTCCACAAAGAGTGTCATTTTGACACATTTCACACAAATTAAGAAAACATTGAATTATACATATATGCCCCTATTTAATAAGTGATTAATGATTTAAATTCAATGAAAAGTAGCTTTAAGTTAAGGATAAATCAGGAAATTCTGTGTAAAAGTCACATTGAAAATGTAGAATGACACTCTTTGTGAAACAAAAATCAAACTCTAAAATGACACTCTTTGTGAAACAGAGAGAGTATTAATTTAATATTTTTTGATTATTTCTGCAGTGTCATTCATGATTGATTGAATTTTTAATATGCGTGCTTTTAACTAAAACGTCTTATATTTTGAAACAGAGAGAGTAATAAATATGGATTCTCTTCAACGTTTGAAATCTTCAAAGATATGTTTTGTCTCAGCTTAGTGCATTGTACTCAAATCACATTATATCAATCTCTATATGTAATTTATGATCGCATAGTTTTGGAGGGTGTCCAATTTCCATATATGTCCTCCTCTTATATCTTTATCGTGATTAATCTTTGACTGAAGAAAAAAAAACTATCATGGCCAACATTTGATACAGAATTATAACATGCCCAAGCATCTGTGGTCAAGTAGCAGAGGAAGCTTTGGAAAATGGTGACATTCACAAACCTGAGTTCGATTTTTCTTGGAAACAAAAACACATTTGTTTGGAAAGTCTGTCAGTTGGGTCTTGGCCCAATTGGTTTACCTGGTAGCCAGAAATGCAGGTGGCCTGACTACCCCCTGGCACTTAGTCGGAAGGCATTCCAAACTCGGGATAGGTAGAGTGGTAGCCCGTAAGGGCCTAACCGTTAACACGGTGGACCAATCTACTATGTAGCACCTCGGTGCGTTCCTACCGGAGCCGACCGGATAGCCGATAGGGTTTATCAAAAAAAAAAAAAAAAAATTATCAGGAACATTTTAAATCGAAACCTTAACTAATATATATTTGGAACCTATATGAATTCATTATTGCAAACGGTAGAAAGAATTAAAACTCTTATACATGAATGATTTTATATGTCAACGGCATTTGATTTGAACTTTCATAATCTAAGTCAGCGCATCCTTTAAAGTCAGAAGCTCAAACCTGACACCTCAAACCTATTCAAGCTAAGAATGCCTGGTCGACCATTTCAGGTCATGTTTTGTCATTTTTGGGCTACGAAAGCACTATCAAACAAACAACAATTTGTAATAAGAAGCGGAACTAACCAAAAATATCGAACGTAATGTTGAACACAACAATATTTTTCCGAGTGCATTAATTTGATGTCCAAGGAAGATGAACGGCGATTACTTGTGTGATTACTTTCCCAATAATAAAGCACACCGCAAGAAAATTGTGTTAGGGTTTAGATCCCAAAAATAACGATTTAAAGTAGAAAAATAAAAATGCACATTATATGTCATGATTTATTTTTAATGTAGGAATTACATTTTGTTCCTACTACTAAAAGATTTTCACAATGACTAAATCAAAGCCCTCAAAAGTTTGCAATCATTTATTATTATTTTTTTGGTTCTACCCTCACAAGAAAACAAAGACAAGAAAGCAAAAAAGTGACTATTGAGACACCCGTATGTCGTTAACTGTTGACAATGTTTCCTCATCATTTTAAGATGGTAATTAAGGACTAATGAGGAAGTAACAGTATCTGTTAAAGTGTAAGGTAAAACAATTTAAAATTTACTACTTGATAATAATTTGTGTGAATACTTCATATTATTATTTTGAAATATACCGTCATTATTTTGTCATTATAATCTTTATTGTTTTGTCTTAGCAATTAGCTCTAATGCTCTATCCTCTATGCCTCTATCACTAAGCTCATCGTAGTGTAGAATGAAACTGTGGTAGTTTTAACGTTCAATAATAATCACATGCATGTCTGCGCAAAGACTTTAATCTTTTTTCAACTGTTTTTTTTTCTGAATTTCCCTAACAAAGTTTTTAGTTTTTTTTCCCATTTTATTATTGTATTTATGACACAAGCAATTACCTCACCATGAATAGACATTAGACACACGTTCAATCCGTATGTTTAAATTAGACCGTACCACTACCTACAAGATTATTAAACTAATCAAATCATCATTAATTAGTAAAATTTTAATTCATCGAAATGATGGGATCATAATGAGGTGTGATATGTCTGCGAAAGAATCCATTGTCAAGAAAATTCGTCTAAATTAGAAGACGTACTTAATAAAAAAATTAGGTTATGTTGCCAATAATCAAATATATGATATTTCATCACTATTCTCCATAGTGATCTATATAATAAATCCATAAAACAATTATATGATACAAATTTGTAACACAAACACATATTATCAATTCAACATCTTATTTTTCCTATATATAGTAATGAATTTATTTGAGATTTTATAACTTATTGAAATCGACATATATACTAATAAATATTTTTAGTATATTTTTCGAAAATAGTGTAAAATACTATTTTAATCTTATTTACCATTTAATTTTAGACTGACAACAGAAAACATACAAAAAATAGTATTTTTTTGACAAAAAATAGTATTATAAAAGAAAAAATTGTCACTCAAAGCCTTTTTAACCCGCCTCTTCTCTCTCACCTCCAAAGATTCTCTCTCCCCTTTAAATGGTCGCCGGAAACGAATCGACGAACTGAGATTCAAATCTCAACTTTTTCGGCGGCGATGTTAGGACGAGACGAAGATCTGGTCCGAACAATGAGCGGGAGAGGAAGCTTAGCGTCCTCAAGTCACCGGAGTTTAGCCGGAGCTGCTTCAAAAAGCTTCAGAGATGTGTTCGCTCCCCCAACGGACGACGTGTTCGGTGGGAGCGAAAGAAGAGAAGAAGATGACGTGGAGCTCCGGTGGGCGGCGCTTGAGAGGTTACCGACTTACGATCGGCTACGAAAAGGTATGTTGCCGCAAACGACGGTCAACGGGAAGATTGGACTTGAAGAAGTTGACCTCACGAATCTTGCACCTAAAGAGAAGAAACATCTTATGGAAATAATTTTGAAATTCGTTGAAGAAGATAACGAAAAGTTTCTCCGGAGATTGAGAGAAAGAACTGACAGGTAAGACTTTAATTTCAGACAAAAACAAAACAAACTTCTTTTCTTACAACTTTTGTCGTCTGACAAATTTGCTTTTTTTTTTTCGTTTTGTTCTTTTATTTTATTTTTTATTTTGGCGAAAACAGAGTAGGAATCGAAGTTCCGAAAATAGAAGTAAGATATGAGAATATTTCAGTGGAAGGAGATGTTCGTAGTGCAAGCAGGGCTCTTCCGACTCTCTTCAACGTCACTTTGAATACAATCGAGGTTCAGTTTTTTTTTTTGTGGGTAACTTTGTCTTGTTCGATGTTGTTGAGAGAAAGTAAGATCTAAAGAAGATAAAACCTAACTTTACGGTTTTTTGTGTCTTGGCATGAATTTTTAACCTTTTTGGGATAAAGTCTTGTCGGGTCCAAATTAGATATCTTTAAAATGTCAAACTTTATGTGTGTAAATGTCAAAATTGTATGAAACTGTTGTTGATCTCTTTATTTTACTGTTTATTTGTAAAACAGAGCATTCTTGGAATATTCCACCTCCTTCCATCTAAGAAGAGGAAGATTCAGATACTTAAGGATATCAGTGGCATTATCAAACCATCAAGGATGACTTTATTACTTGGTCCTCCAAGTTCAGGGAAAACAACTTTGTTACAAGCTTTAGCTGGGAAGCTCGATGACACTCTCCAGGTTTGTTGTCTTATTGTATTTATGTAAATATATGCGTTTAAAAGCTTCTGGTTGAGTTAACATTTTCCGGGGTCTATGACAAACAGATGTCTGGGAGGATAACTTACTGCGGTCATGAGTTTCGTGAGTTTGTTCCTCAGAAGACGTGTGCCTACATTAGTCAGCATGACCTTCACTTTGGAGAAATGACGGTGAGAGAAACGGTGGATTTTTCTGGCAGATGTCTAGGTGTTGGGACTCGGTACCAGCTTTTGACTGAGCTCTCAAGGAGGGAGAGAGAAGCTGGAATTAAGCCAGACCCTGAGATTGATGCATTTATGAAATCTATTGCCATATCTGGCCAAGAAACTAGTTTGGTTACAGACTATGTACTAAAGGTACAGCTTTTGTGTTTCTCTCTTTTTCTAACAAACAATATATTTTTAGCTTATCCTTGGTTAATGCCATTTGACAGTTACTTGGTCTGGACATTTGTGCTGACACACTTGTTGGAGATGTGATGAGACGAGGTATTTCTGGTGGACAGCGGAAACGTCTAACAACAGGTAAAACTTTTGAGTGTTACATATGTTAACTTTGATATAATATTGCCATGATTTCACTACAGTAATAGTGAAGATGTGTTCATTAACTTGGATGGCTCTTGTCTCAACTGAGCAGGAGAGATGTTAGTTGGACCAGCAACAGCTCTTTTCATGGATGAAATATCAACAGGGTTGGATAGTTCCACAACATTCCAAATTTGTAAGTTCATGAGGCAACTAGTTCATATCGCTGATGTCACTATGGTTATTTCGCTTCTACAACCTGCGCCCGAGACATTTGAGCTTTTCGACGACATTATCCTACTCTCAGAGGGCCAAATTGTCTACCAGGGGCCACGAGACAACGTTCTTGAGTTCTTTGAGTACATGGGTTTCCAATGTCCTGAAAGGAAAGGTATTGCAGACTTTCTGCAAGAAGTTACGTCTAAGAAGGACCAAGAACAGTATTGGAACAGGAGAGAACAACCTTACAACTATGTATCGGTGCATGATTTTGCAAGCGGCTTCAATTCTTTTCACACCGGGCAACAACTTGCTTCAGAATTCAGGGTTCCTTATGACAAAGCTAAAACCCATCCTGCTGCACTAGTGACTCAAAAGTATGGTATATCAAACAAGGACCTGTTCAAGGCATGCTTTGATAGAGAATGGCTTCTTATGAAACGTAACTCCTTTGTGTATGTGTTCAAGACCGTCCAGATAACCATCATGTCTTTGATTGCCATGACAGTCTATTTTAGGACAGAAATGCATGTGGGCACGGTGCAAGATGGTCAAAAATTTTATGGTGCTCTCTTTTTCAGCTTGATAAATCTAATGTTTAATGGAATGGCTGAACTAGCATTCACAGTGATGAGGCTCCCGGTTTTCTTCAAGCAGAGGGACTTCTTGTTCTATCCTCCATGGGCTTTCGCCTTACCGGGTTTTCTTCTGAAGATTCCATTATCTCTTATTGAATCAGTTATATGGATCGCTCTTACATACTACACTATTGGTTTTGCTCCTTCTGCTGCCAGGTACATTTGCTAGTACTCAAGAAGTTCACTAAGGAACTTTCTTTATTTTCTTCTATTTTCATTCTCTTGAACTAACCAAACTTGTTCCATTAGGTTCTTCCGGCAGTTGCTTGCATACTTCTGTGTGAATCAGATGGCACTTTCTTTATTTAGATTCCTAGGAGCCCTTGGACGAACAGAAGTAATCGCCAACTCGGGCGGGACATTAGCATTGCTACTTGTATTTGTTCTTGGAGGCTTCATTATTGCTAAAGGTAAGCATATGATCTCTTTTTACGCAAAAGAACCTATACCAAGCTTTTACCGGATAGTAAAACAGTTGAGTGGATGATACTGTAGAAGTCCTTAAAGATCACATATCTTATCATATGATAGAACATTCAAAATCTGTTTGAACTATAGAACCAAACAGCCCCTCTTGATATCTATGTGATTGTTAAGTGAAACATATATATATTTTTTTTTCACAGATGACATCCCATCATGGATGACTTGGGCCTATTATATATCCCCTATGATGTATGGACAGACTGCATTAGTTATGAATGAATTTCTGGATGAGCGATGGGGCAGTGTAAGATTTTCACCTAGACCTCATCTGGTTGACTTCTCTTTACAAATTTTTGATATAAATTCTGTTATGTTACATGATGCAGCCAAACAGTGATACACGCATCAACGCGAAAACAGTTGGAGAAGTCTTGTTGAAGAGCCGAGGCTTCTTTACAGAACCATATTGGTTTTGGATCTGCATTGGGGCGCTACTTGGGTTTACTGTGTTGTTCAACTTCTTTTACATAATAGCTTTGATGTATTTGAACCGTATGTGCTCTTATTTTTAACTTTCTGGCTATTCAGAACTTTGAACAAGAATCATTTTTTAGTTGACAAGATCTTGAAATTTTTCTTGTAGCTCTCGGTAACTCCAAAGCTACAGTTGTGGAAGAAGGTAAAGACAAACAGAAAGGGAGTCACCGTGGAACAGGAGGTGAAATCTTGTACCTCTTTACTTCTGCAGCTATCTTTTTACTTTGATTATTCTGACTCTACTAAAAAGTTGCAGGTTCTGTAGTGGAACTCACTAGTACTTCAAATCATGGACCAAAGAGAGGAATGGTTTTACCTTTCCAACCTCTTTCGCTTGCATTCAACAATGTGAACTACTACGTGGATATGCCTGCAGTAAGCAAACTGCGTCTCATACTTGTTTTTCGTGTTAGACTTAACTAATGACGTGTATCGATAAGGAGTTGTACTCATTGTTTCCTTTAAATTCTGCAGGAAATGAAGGCTCAAGGAGTTGAAGGCGATCGCCTTCAATTACTAAGAGAGGTTGGTGGAGCTTTCAGGCCAGGAGTATTGACAGCATTGGTCGGTGTCAGTGGTGCGGGTAAGACTACCTTAATGGATGTCTTGGCCGGTAGGAAAACAGGAGGCTACATTGAAGGGAGTATTAATATATCTGGTTACCCAAAGAACCAAGCAACATTTGCTAGAGTCACTGGTTACTGTGAACAAAATGATATCCATTCTCCACATGTTACCGTTTATGAATCCCTCATATACTCAGCATGGCTTCGTCTTTCCGGCGATATAGATGCCAAAACACGAGAGGTTTGTAATACTATGCATTTAACGTTTTAATGTTTCAGAATAATCACTTAGCATGATTTTATAAACTGTAACCTTTTCTTTTGCTTGTTTATGTCATTGATAGATGTTTGTTGAAGAAGTGATGGAGTTGGTGGAGCTCAAACCCCTTAGAAACTCTATAGTTGGTCTTCCTGGTGTAGATGGTCTTTCAACAGAACAGAGGAAGAGGCTTACTATTGCAGTTGAATTGGTAGCTAACCCATCAATTATCTTCATGGACGAGCCAACATCTGGTCTTGATGCAAGAGCTGCAGCCATTGTTATGCGTACTGTTAGGAATACTGTTGATACAGGGAGAACTGTCGTTTGTACAATTCACCAGCCTAGCATCGACATTTTCGAATCCTTCGATGAGGTTTGCCTCCGAAAAAACCACTTTTGAGTCTCAAAACCAGAATAAAATTAAACAATCATCTTTGGTTTAATGCAGCTGCTGTTGATGAAACGAGGAGGCCAAGTTATATATGCTGGAACTCTAGGACATCACTCACAAAAACTCGTTGAATACTTTGAGGTGAATCATTGGTTTTTTTTTACCATCTCTTGGTCCTATGAATTTGTTATATATATCCATGGAAGTAACTGAATCTAGAACCTTACTTGCAGGCTATTGAAGGGGTTCCCAAGATCAAGGACGGATACAATCCTGCGACGTGGATGCTTGACGTCACTACTCCTTCAATGGAGTCACAAATGAGCATGGACTTTGCTCAAATATTCGCTAACTCCTCTCTTTATCGGTATGTGTTTTATGAGAAATGCTACTACTAAACCAAAGTTGTTACACAGTCTTTCTAATCTGAACTTGATGTTTTACTCAGGAGAAATCAGGAACTCATCAAAGAACTCAGTACTCCACCACCGGGATCGAGTGATCTCTACTTCCCGACCAAGTACGCGCAACCATTTGCTACTCAAACCAAAGCTTGCTTCTGGAAAATGTATTGGTCAAACTGGAGATATCCTCAGTACAATGCCATTCGGTTTCTCATGACAGTAGTCATTGGTGTCTTGTTTGGTCTCCTTTTCTGGCAAACAGGAACTAAAATGTAAGCCATTCTTTTCTCTATTCCATTAGTAAATTATCATCTTATCAAAATGTGACGTATTCATCCAAAAACCAAAACAGAGAGAAAGAGCAAGACCTGAATAATTTCTTTGGAGCCATGTATGCTGCTGTATTGTTCCTCGGTGCCACCAACGCTGCAACAGTTCAACCCGCGGTTGCTATTGAGCGAACGGTTTTTTACCGCGAAAAAGCCGCTGGAATGTACTCCGCCATTCCCTATGCAATTTCTCAGGTACTTAACCATTCTAATTATTTTGCCTCAACGTTATATACTTACATGCTACTTTTCCTAAGATATGGTTATCTAAAAATGTTGCAGGTAGCAGTAGAAATCATGTACAACATTATACAAACCGGAGTCTACACGCTAATCCTTTACTCGATGATTGGATACGACTGGACTGTGGTCAAATTCTTCTGGTTCTACTACTACATGTTAACAAGCTTCATCTACTTCACGCTATACGGTATGATGCTTGTGGCCTTAACACCAAACTATCAAATAGCCGGAATCTGCATGTCCTTCTTCCTCAGTCTCTGGAATCTTTTCTCCGGTTTCCTCATCCCTAGACCGGTAAAGAAACTAAGCAACTTACATTTGAATTAATATCAAGAAAAATGTTTTAAGCGCTAGACTAACTGAACTTTTGATGCAGCAAATACCAATATGGTGGAGATGGTACTATTGGGCATCACCTGTGGCTTGGACATTGTATGGAATCATAACATCTCAAGTAGGAGACAAAGATTCGATAGTGCACATCACTGGTGTTGGAGACATGAGTCTCAAAACGTTGCTCAAAACTGGATTCGGGTTCGAACATGACTTCTTACCAGTTGTAGCTGCTGTCCACATCGCCTGGATCTTGGTCTTTCTCTTTGTCTTTGCTTATGGTATCAAGTTCCTCAACTTCCAAAGAAGGTGAAAAAACTTTATTAGAAGAGATTTCAAAAACCTTTATAGATTAGTGTTTGAGAAAGTGTATGAATGAATTCATGTAAATTTTCTTGTATTAACTAATTATTTATTTTTTGTCGTTTCGTATTAATAAACAACAGTTCATGTTTACAATATGATATTTTTCTTATTCAAAATCAAAATACATGGTATATTCTTTATTCTCTAGTGATTCCCGTGAGAAAAGATATTTGTGCAAGTTTGGACTCGTCCCACATCAAGAAAAAAGTTTAAATCTTGTTTTTCAGTTACGAGTCTGAAATCTGACAACTACAAATGTTTTTATTCTCCTAATGAAAATTGATATTTTGAGGGGTAAAAGAAGCAATTATTGAGAATTTGAGATACTAATGGGTTCCACTTAAATATCTGACATCATACACGTGGCACACTATGCTCCGTCCCAAATGAGCGTCGTGTAATTTTGATTAATTTGTTTAACTTTTATTTTTGTCGTCTAGTTTTAAATTATTAATTTATGATTAATTTTAGATTTTATTCCTTAAAGCTTTTTCGCTCGTCACTCTCTCCTCCCAAAGTTGTCTGTAAAACTCAATCTCTCCGTCTTCAATGGTTTACACGATTTCCGGCGTACGTTTCCCACATCTTCCATCGATTAAGAAGAACTCGTCTCTTCCCAGTTTCAATGAAGATCTCAGGAGAACCAACGCTGTTTCCTTCTCTCTGAGGAAGGACTCTCGTTCTTCTGGTACTTGGCTCCTCCATCTCCTTTGTTTGTTCTCAGTATATGTCTCCTTCTACTGTCACGGGTTTCGAGATTCGTGATTTCATGTAGTCAATGTGTGGAATTAATCTTTGAATCTGAATTTGATTATGCTATTTGTCTTCCTTTTGGAATTAATTGTGATAATTTCTTAGGGAAGGTTTTTGCTCGGAAGCCATCGTATGATTCTGATTCGTCTTCCTTAGCTACCACTGCATCTGAGAAGCTTCGTGGCCATCAGAGTGATAGCTCTTCATCTGCCACTGATCAAGTACAATCTCGGGAAACTGTCTCTGACGATACTCAGCTTTGTTGTCAGATAATTTAAGTGCACTTCCATTGCTTTTTGCATTTACATACTTAGATAGAATCCCTCATACTCTTCTTAAATGATTATTGTTAGGTGCTCGGCGATGTAGACACTCAGAAAACTGAAGAATCCCAGGAAACAGATAAAACTTGTGCACTCTCAACATCTGGAAGCAAAAGTTATAAAGAAGATATTGCAGAGATGTCACAGTCTTTAGACCAAGAAGTTGGGCAGAGGAAGATTCCACCTCCTGGAGATGGGAAGAAAATATATGACATTGATCCTATGTTGAACAGTCATCGTACTCATCTTGATTACCGGTAAACAATGTATTCTATTTTGCTTTAGCTTCTTTGCAAAAGAGTAATCTATCAAAACTATTAAACAATGAATGTAATTTTTGTTGGTGGAACTTGTAAGTTTTATGTTATCTTAATTTTCATCCTTCCCCTGGCTTAAAAGCTTGCGTTTCTTTTCTTTATTAAGTTCTAATTACTCAGCATGACGTTGCAGATATGGGCAGTACAGAAAACTGCGTGAAGAAATCGACAAGTATGAAGGTGGTTTGGAGGCATTTTCTCGTGGTTATGAAATATTTGGCTTCACTCGAAGGTAAACTTCATTCGAACATATATATTCAAGTGCCGTTTCCATAGCTTTAACGTTTCTTATTATTGCATTTTCAGCACTCTAGTCACAGTAAAAGTTTAGTAAATACTCTTCAGATAGTTGGTATTGCAGTTGCTAATTATAATTCACTGCTTTATTAGCGCCACTGGTATCACTTACCGGGAATGGGCACCAGGAGCTAAGGTCTGTTTCAACTCTACTTTACCTAACAATTATGTTTTTAATGATTTGATGTTATATTTGTTCCGTCATTAGAGTTTCAGAATTTGCTTGTGTATGTCAAATGCAACTTTTTATGCCTGTGAAGAGAACTAAATCTAAAATCATGGATTAAAACTCATGTACTCCCACATTCAATCTGATTGACCTTGTGATGCTCACCTATTACAAACATACCAAATTTCTTTTTCTTTTTTTTTGTGGTGGTGAATTATTTTTTCTTACAGTTGTTGGGGTTACAGATTTCAAAACTGGTCAAGTGGTTTTGTATTTAGCATAAGTATGAATGATCAGCCTGGGTTCATAGTTCAGTAAACAGGGTCTCATGTGCCCCAGTGTTGTGACATCGGTTTTGTCTTTTGTATTCTGTTCCATGCATGTATCTGCACCTGATTGAATATCTAGATTATTGTTTTTTTCTAACAAGTTATTTGGCTGAATTATTCTTTCCAGGCAGCATCACTGATCGGAGATTTTAATAACTGGAATGCGAAAGCTGATGTAATGGCCCGGGTATGCTCTTACACTCTAATGTGATCTATTGTTTAATCTTCCGTCTCAGCTGATAGTTAGGCTAGCAGTTAAACTTTCACTGGTTCTTGTTGGCGGCATGCTTTGCTCTTTTATTATTCTGTTCCTCTCTGGAATTCTGATCTTAGACAGTCTTATCACTGAAATTTGAGCAGAACGACTTTGGTGTGTGGGAAATATTTCTGCCAAATAATGCTGATGGCTCGTCAGCAATTCCCCATGGCTCCCGTGTGAAGGTGACATGTTCATAGTTTACCCTTTTGGATGCAAAATAATCAGCTTTGTAACTCTCATCGTAGTTTTATTGTATGTCATGCATTGGTAGATTCGCATGGATACCCCATCTGGTATTAAAGACTCCATTCCAGCTTGGATCAAGTATTCTGTCCAGCCACCAGGCGAGATCCCATACAATGGAGTATATTATGACCCTGCTGTGGAGGTACAAATCAGTACTCATTTTATATTCTCATTTGTTTTGGTGTTTTCTAGAGATAATTGAAACTCTTTCAAGATGCAGACATCCAATAAAAATATTATATTTTGTATGTAAGTCATAACTGGTTTCCAGCATTATCAATGTGTATATGTGTTTATTGTATGTCTCCCTCGCTGAAGGCCTGTAAAGTACTCCATTGTTGCAGGATAAATATGTGTTCAAACATCCTCGTCCAAGGAGACCCACATCACTGCGTATATATGAATCACATGTTGGAATGAGTAGTACGGTATGTTTCTTTCTCTTATCTTGGAGTGGTATTCACTAAGTATCAAAATATCACTGACAAAAGTAGAAGTTTAAACTACATTTGACATGACAATTCTCATATGTGCCTGACTTTGTCGCTTGTTGAGGATAGTGGAAAGTTTGGTCTAGGCATTTAAAAGAGAATTTGGGAACTAGTCCGTTTGAACAAACGACTATCATCGTTATTTGATGGCTTAATCATCTTTAGAGAATGTATACTTTCAATATACAGTAAGAATGCAAAAGGAAATCTCGGAACTCTTATTTTTGTTCCAGGTTCTTGATGGCAGAAGACTCTTATGCCAACTTTAGAGATGATGGGTAACGTTGTTATCTTTGATCTGCAGGAACCAAAGATAAATACATATGCCAACTTTAGAGATGATGTACTTCCACGTATAAAAAAGCTAGGCTATAATGCTGTTCAGATAATGGCCATTCAAGAACATGCCTACTATGCCAGCTTTGGGTATCTTCCTTTCCCAGATAGAATATGTCTACCTACCTACCTATCATCCAGTGCATTCCTGTTAAAAGCCATTTGTTGATTCTTCAAAGTCGTAAATCTTTTTGTCTCCTTAGTGATTGAGCATGTGACTTTGATACATGCAATGCAGGTATCATGTGACAAATTTTTTCGCACCTAGCAGCCGCTTTGGAACTCCTGATGACCTTAAATCTTTGATAGACAAAGCTCATGAGCTAGGTCTGGTTGTTCTGATGGATATTGTGCACAGGTATTGGCTTCTCGTTAACGCACTTCTCCAGAACCATCTTACTTCAGTTAGATGTTATTGTGAATCAGTTGATATGGACTTTTTTCATGAATAATCATCATTGTCTTGAATAAAACCAGCCATGCATCCAAAAACACACTGGATGGCCTGGACATGTTTGATGGCACTGATGGTCAATATTTCCACTCTGGATCGCGGGGTTATCATTGGATGTGGGATTCTCGTCTTTTCAATTACGGAAGCTGGGAAGTATGTCTCTTTCCGTAGAGTTGATATTGCAATATTAATGGGAAGGCCTTTAGTGTACCCCTATGTTGGTGGTTATGTCTGTATCGGTATTAAACGTTTGTTCCTTGTGTATTTAGGTTCTTAGGTATCTTCTTTCCAACGCGAGATGGTGGCTGGAAGAATACAAGTTTGATGGGTTCAGATTTGATGGTGTGACTTCCATGATGTACACTCATCATGGACTGCAGGTGGTATTTGTGTATGGGATTAGTTTTGTTCTTTATGTCAATATATGATAGTATTCTACAAATATGCGAATGCAAAAATATAGCTTTATGGAACCTAACTGCTAGCGTTTGTGGCAGGTCGAATTTACTGGGAATTACAATGAGTACTTTGGATATTCTACTGATGTTGACGCTGTGGTCTATCTAATGCTGGTGAACGATTTGATTCATGGGCTATACCCTGAGGCTATTGTTGTCGGCGAAGATGTAAGTCATTTGCGCTTTTGTTTAGTTAGTGATACTGAAGTATCTTTGATACCTCTCTTCGGTTCTCGCAATTGATTTCGTTACAGGTTAGCGGGATGCCAGCTTTTTGCATTCCTGTCGAAGACGGTGGTGTGGGTTTTGACTACCGTCTACACATGGCAGTTGCAGATAAATGGATTGAGCTTCTCAAGTATGTCCCCAGGACGCCTTGGCTTTTCAATGAGACTAAGGGGGACGTTGTTATATCATATTGAACTGATATGGTGTGTTGTAATTTCTCTAGGAAGAGAGACGAGGACTGGCAGGTTGGTGATATAACTTTCACACTTACCAACAGGAGGTGGGGAGAAAAATGTGTCGTCTACGCGGAGAGTCATGATCAAGCCCTTGTTGGAGACAAAACGATAGCTTTCTGGCTAATGGACAAGGTACCTGGTTGGTGGCTGATAAGACTTAGCAAACAGAATAGCTAACATCTTACTGTCTTTGAACTCTTAAGTCTGGTTGTATTTAGATAAATTGTTCGACTAAATGTTATGTTTTTTACTTGATTATATAGGACATGTATGATTTCATGGCTGTTGATAGACAGGCCACTCCACGGGTAGACCGTGGGATTGCTTTACACAAAATGATCCGTCTCATTACGATGGGATTGGGTGGAGAAGGATACCTCAATTTCATGGGAAACGAATTTGGACACCCAGAATGGATCGACTTCCCAAGGACTGACCAGCACCTTCCTGATGGCAGAGTCATCCCTGGGAATAATGGTAGTTATGATAAATGCCGACGTAGGTTTGATTTGGGAGATGCAGAATATCTTAGATACCATGGACTACAAGAGTTTGATCGAGCAATGCAAAATCTAGAGGAGACGTATGGTTTCATGACTTCAGAGCACCAGTACATATCCCGCAAGGATGAAGGAGACAAAGTCATTGTATTCGAGAGAGGTAACTTGCTCTTCGTCTTCAACTTCCACTGGACCAACAGTTACTCAGATTACCGTATCGGTTGCTCTGTTCCCGGAAAGTACAAAATTGTTTTGGACTCTGATAACTCTTTATTCGGAGGCTTCAACCGGCTAGATGACTCCGCAGAGTTTTTCACCTCTGTAAGCCCTTTAACTAAACGAGAATGTAACAAAGAAACTCTTTTCTCCAAGTCACTACTAAGGAACTGATAATTTGCTATGCAGGATGGAAGACACGATGATAGGCCTTGCTCCTTCATGGTTTATGCGCCGTGCAGAACCGCTGTAGTGTACGCTGCAGTAGATGATGATGATGACCGTTCTTCTCTTGTCCCCATAAGCCTGTTACCTGAAGATGTTTAGGAGCAAGACAAGGATGTCCAAGTTACCTAGTGTAAGCTTCTTTGTACTACAAAGATTTACTCTTTGATCTTCTTCTCTGTCTTCGCTTGCAGCATCATTATAATTTAAAAATGAAATAAAAATCGTTGCACTTCTACATTTGCTCAAGCTTCATATGCTTCATCATAGATCCTATATATAGATTTGAAGTTCCAAAACATAAATCTTTGAGGATTAAAATCTGCAGAGAAAAGCTACAGATACAAGGGAAATCTTAAAAAAGAAAGGGAAGAGGACAACAAAACCCTCCCCTCTTTATACAGGAAATTTGAATAAAAACCCAAGACAAAGAGTAAAAACAGCGTTGTTGTGTTGGTTTTACACTGGTCAATGAAAGGCTTGTGTCGAGACACCCAGCTGATGGAGAACACTGGTTGGGGAAGACGAGGAAGAAGATCTCAGGGCTTCGGCCAATGGTCCGCCCATGTGGTGATGATGGTGGTTGGACCCTCCACCGCTCCACCAGCTCATGTTTTGCTGATCTCTCCCATTGTTGTTGCTCCTAGCTTCCTCTTCATTGCCTGTGGACAGCTTCAGAGAGACGTCTGAGGAAGAGTTTCCGGGCATGGAGATGGAGAGACAAGTGGCTGAGCTCATGGGGCTTGAACTATTGTCAGCTTCTTGGAGCGAAGAACGAGGCCAGTCGTCAAAGAAGGGCCTCAGGATGTGTCCTCCATCTGATCTGTTGTTGCTGAATCCATTGTGGGACTCGTATGGCCTCTTGTTGTTCATGTTGTTGCTTTCTTGCTTCATCTCCGAACAACTGTTAACAGAATCCACATCTCATTGGTGAAAACAGAGCACAAAAGCAATAATTTGTCAAAAGAGATTCCACATTTAGGCTTCAACAACATAGTTGTAGTAGCCTTTATATTTGTTTATAGGCTTTAAAAGTACCTTTTAATGCAGGTTTTATAAGAATTGATTAAGTAGTAAATAGAAATAGAATTATTAATTGAGTGTGTTGTATCATGTGTTGTGTGTGGATAGGGGAGGTGGGTGCAGAAGAATCTAAAAGCTTTAACTTTTCTGCAAGATATGAGACATATATGGGTCAGCTTTCACTAAGGTCCTACCATTTCTCTCTCTTTCTATTTTCTCTGTTTGAAAAGTCTCACACCTAACTTCAAATTATAGATTCTATCAAATCCAACGTTATCATTATCTCTCAACACAAGGAAAAAAAAAAAGAGAGATATTTTCACAAAGAAACCAAACTCATAATTCAACAAACAAACAAACAAACCAACCCTAAAATGATAAGGATGTGTCTCTCAATTTCCAACATTACCCTCTCTTCACAACATTGTTATGAACATACAAACCAAATTGTGTAGATCATTAGTTTCATTGTTAAAAATCCAGAATCAGTATTGCTTTCCTCTAAATGAACTTCTTATTATTCAAAACAATTGTCTTAAATCTCAACCAAGAATCTTATTGGCTTAAAACTAAAGAAAGAAAAAAGTCAAATGTGTTTAATGCTTTTGACCAACAAGTTCAACAGCTAAAACAGACAGACCTAAGAGAAAAAAACAGTTTCTGTTTATTACCTTTGACTAAGGTGGAGAAGTTCAGATGATGAAGAGTTAGAAGAGCCAGAGAAGAAGAAAGATCCTCCTTGACCCACAACTTTCTCACCACTATCACCACCACCACCAAAAGCAAACGTAGATGATGTTGTTGTTGTTGTTGTGGCTGTGGCTGCTGCTGCTGTAGCCATGGACGTGGCAGTTGCATAGACGGTGGTTGGAGTTTCCACAGGCTTTCTTGAACGGTTGCGGCCACGGTGCATGTGGCGCTCGCAATACTTGTGGCCAGCAAAGACGTCTCTTGAACATCTCCACTTCTTACCGTCCGTTCTCCTGCATCTCCCTGGCTCAGGATCCATCGCTGCCCTCCCCAAATACCCTGTTTTCAATTTTTATTACACAAATCAGATCAAGAACAAGATTCTATATCCTACTTAATCCCATTCACACATGTTTAGATCTTCAAGATAATATACTAATATTGAAAGTCTGGATCTTGGGAACACAACTCCAACACAGTAGCACAAAACCCATCATGCATCCCATTTATATTTAAAAAATAGATAGATGAAAGACTGTTGTCGAGACTCACAAGCAGGTTGGTAATGAGGGAGGTGTTGAAGAGGATGGTGAAGAAAGTAGGAAGGAGATAGATGGAGAAGGCTTTTCTTGATTGGTAAAAGGAGCTCTTGAGGAACAGCAGCACCAGCCAACATGTACCTGTAGATCAGTGCTTGTAGTTCAAGTTCTTGCCACTGTGCCCAGCTAAAGAAGCTCCCCATCTCTACAAAAAAAAAAAAGGAATCAAAAAACACAATCAGTAATTTAACTATATGAATGAAAAGGCCAACTCTTTATCAAGAAAGATAAGAGAAAGGAGAAAAAGACTCACTGGGGAACCTGGAAGAAGATTCAGGAGACAAAGAGGAGAGTTTAGAAGAAGTAGGCTCAGGGGCAAAGAGAGGAAGAGCAGTAGAAGTTGCAGAGTGAGATTGAATCTGGTCAAAGACATGTTTTGGTATCTTAGCTGCAGAAGGTTGTTCTTCTGACTCTGTCTGCTGTTGCTGGCTTCTCCATTGTTTCAGTTGCAAATCCATGGAAGAGAGAGAGAAGTGCTGGTTACTTTTGGGATATAATGGTTTTTCACCTTTTTTGTCTTCCAGGGTCTGATTTAATAGCTTATGAAAGTCTTGTAGCCTGTAGGGGTTATGAAAAAAAAAAGAACTTTTTTTGGCTCTAAAAAAAAAGCTTTGTTCTTTGTAGTCAGTTTCTGTATCTGAGGCTTCTTCTGCAGAGAGAGAAAGGACAGAGAAGAGGGAAAGAGGTTTTTATTACAGAGACTTGCGAGAAAAAGACTGTGAGACAAGACAGATGGGGGGGAGAAATACTATACAGTAAAAAAGACTTTAAACTATATAGTAGTAATAACTTTATTAATCTCTCTTCATTAATCTCTCAGATTATTAAAATAATTGGTTTGATTTAGGTAAATAATAAATTAAAAAGCAAGTCAGAAAACCCAGAAAGAACCACTCTGCAAGATGAAGATGGAGAGATAATAACCTGCAGTTTTTCTGTCTTTGCTGCTTTGGAAATACCAATCTCCATTTTTATATTATTAGTATTGCTTTTAATTAGTTTTATATAGAAAAAAACAAAAGCCTACTTGGGGTTGGGGATATTTAATTAGTCCTTAATCAAGTGATTCGTTTGGAGATTATTTAATAAGTGAGCGTTACGTTGGTATAATTTGTAATTGCTGCATTTGTGACAAACAAAACTACTTTATAGTATTTGAGTTAGTAAAATTCGTCAAGGTTCCTATATTATATCAGACGGCACTAGATGTACTTGCCACTCTATTTTCTTTTTCGACTTATAAATTTTGTACCTTCGTCCATAGATCTAGTCCGAAAATGGTAATATCAATTCGGTAGAATCGGCTGAATTCTTGGTAGAATGAATCTGTTGCAGAAAATTGGAAAATATTATTTTGACGTAATTACTTTAAAGCGTTAAGGCAGAATTGGCTGAAAAATAATCAAACTAAAGATAACCCATGAGTCAAATAAATTCATCATGGTTGAGAAAACTAAACAAATTGCTTAGAAATGTCTATACTTTTCAGTGATAATTATGCTTATCATAAATATTAAAACTATTCAAGTAATTTCTTTGTTAGAAACATTTCAGGGACTTAGCAAAAAAAAATTCTGCCATATAACTAGTTCAAAGATGTGAAGAAATATTTTCAATCACTATTTAACTCATCTTTCTTTTCTTCTTATTATTACACACCACTCACACTTATTGTAAACAAATTTAAAAGATACTATATGAATTCACAAATTGTATATCAGAATCTTTAGCCAAACTCAAACCCCAAAGCTTTAAAATAATGTTAGAACGATGTCTCAAGAGTCTTAGGAGTCATGTATTAACTATAGAACATATGAAACCTTATATGTTATGGTCAACTTTTTCCCTGTTTGTTGTGGGTTACTTGATAGATACTCTTACTAGACTGAAATCAAAAATTTCTGGTTCCAATTTGGTTAAGGTTAGCAAACTTTTGGTCCAATAATTTCCTTCACCATTTGTCAACGGTTAGGTTTTGTACTCTATTCAGTTTTTGTATATAATCAATTCTTTTGGTTTGATCTAGGTTTTACATTCGGTTCGACTGAGGTAAAAAAAAGGATAGAAGAAGAGAGAAAGAAGTAAAAAAGAGAGAGAAGTAAGTAATAATGAGAAAAGAGAAGCAGGTGGGCTGTGTCAGAGAAAGCTCAGAAGTAAAAAGCATAAAAGTGAGTAACCAAGTGGGTGGTGAGGGTTGTTTCTCTTTGGCTGTGATTCATCTTTGATTTGACTACTCATAGTACTTCTTGTTTTTCTCACTTTTACCCCTCTCTTTTCCTCTATTTTTTTACTCTTCACCCTCAAAAAATCTTTATTCACATTTTTCTCACACTTCCAATATATTTTACAAAGACTTAATCACATTTTCCCTTTCACGGTTTATCTTACTATGGTTCTTATTTCTGATGGAAAGTAAATATTAAATTTTGTTATTTATGCTTTACTATATAAGAGATTAAGTTATTCTCTTGACTGTATAATTTTCTTAACTAAATCAGTCTTATAAACTTTCTCAAATTTCGATAACCGTATTATGTAAGTCTAAAGAAAATATTACATCACATCATTAATTTTACATACTAATAAAGTAATAATCATATAGCAATATAGGAAATTGTTGAATTCTTTTCACAGGAGTATGACATGAAGTATTTTTTTTTTTTTTTTTTTTTTCACTGAAAGATCTTTTATTATATAACACAAGAGTGAAATACAAGGGAGGAATACGTTTTTGGAATGCAGTTTTGAAATACAAAAGCCGGCGGAAAACAAAGAAATCCCCGGAAGCTAAAGCCCGATACACGGGAAACACAAGATAGAATACAATAGTCAAAAAGTAAAGCTCTCGAAATCACCGGGAAAGTCGGAGGAGAACACTAGTCGCGGAACTAAGAGCTCAAAAGTCGCATACTAGAAGACCTACAACCGGAAACGGAGTAGAACTAAGGATAGAGGAAACCGCGAAAAAATAACCCAACTAAAAACGAATATCCCGAACATAATAAGGCAACGATCGTGAATCTACAACCTAACCACCTAGTCTTCTACCGAACAAGTCTAAATCTAGAACTTTGCATCCCCACGAAAGGTTAGCCTTACAAGAACAGACAACAAACAGACCACGAGAGAAAACCTATTTATTAGTCTAATCTAGAGGCGGTGGAAAGAGACAAACGTAAAAGATTCAACGAACAAAGATGGGATAAAACGAAAGCTATCCAAAACCTAGCCAACACGACCAATCCCCGGAGCTTTCATGAGATAACAGAGAGCAAAACCATGACCCAAACTATTCCATAGGCAACACCAACAAAGCCTACCAACAACAGCTAGCAAAAGCCAAACACAAACACAAATCTACAACTACTAACATCCGAAAAGAGGAGCGATAATGCCATAAACCCGACAAGGAACAAAAACGAAATGTCTCTGTCCCTCGCAACCACCGGCAGCCAAAACCCGACAGAGCCACAACCTATCATCCGCTGCAGAAGAACCACAACCCAAAGATACCACCACCGGCAAATCCTGAAGCGGAGATCTTTCGCCACCATTACCAAAATCGAGAACCAAGCCTCTCCTAAATCACCACCTTGATAATCACTATCTCCTCCACAAAACCAATTCGTTCACGAGAAAACCAGAAATGAGAAGAGACAGAATCAAAGCCTATGCCGCGACGAGGAGAGGAAACGCCAAACTAAAGCACCACACAAACCAACCTCAACCAAAAGCTCCATCGCAATTGAACCACCGCAACCTAGAACCCCATCACACCTTCTCTAATCTTCAATTAGAGCCGCAAACAAGAGCCCCCCATGTCGCCTAGTCTCAGCAAAGCCAACCACCGGAAAGAACAGAGCCTTACCGAGGCATCACTCCATGACCCGCGAACAAAGACGCCTCCATCGCCAAAACCAACAGATCTAAAAACAAGACTAAGAAGCAAGACAAAAACAAAAGACCCTCCCACAGCTCTGACGAGAAGTCCAGCCGCCGGAGAGGGAAAATCGAAAATCGCCAAAGTTTTTTTAACCAATGACATGAAGTATTTTACATGCTCTATTTTAAAAAAATAGAACGTGTTTAAATATCATTACTGGAGAATTATACAGCCTCCAACGAATAAGGAGATAGCACATTACAATGCATTGCCACTCAACGAAATTACTGACCAGATTTCACCATTCGAGCAAACAGAATAAAAAAGTCAACTATATTTTAAATAGTCACAAAACTAGAAATACATCGTAATTACGTAACTTTTTTTTTTTTTTTGACATTTTTGGATCGACAAAGCCCGATCCATAGCCAATCCCTACTACGCGGGGTAACGCGACTTACTGGAGTCGAACTCCGATGAAGAAGGCAGAGTCAAATGGACTTAACCACTTGACTAAAGACACATCGTAATTACGTAACTATTTCTGACATATAGGTAAAAAACATCGTTGATGTAGTATCGTATTAACGAGGCAATGATATAACTATCAATATTTTCATTTTATTGAATAATCGTAATAAATTAAAGCTTGGGTAAGAAAAAAAAACAAAAGTTTCCTTATGTTTTTTTTACGTCGGCAAGAGAAGTTAATGTGCGTACTTGATTTGAGAAACGGTGATGGATATTTCTATAAATTAATTAAGAAGAGAAACGAGTTATTTGTATAAACAAATCTGAAAATATAGAAATAGAGCAAGGACAGAGAATAAGAAGAAGAGGCAAAGGAGGGCGAGAGTTCACATGTTCAAGAGAAGACAAATACGTTTCTCTGACACAAATCTGTCAGGCCAATATTTTAATTTTTATTATATAGTTTTTATTTTGTTTTGTTGTATAAGAAAGAAACGTATATTATGTCTTTTACTACCACCATAAGGGTCAGGCTCAGTCCACTTGGGGTCCCAATTTTTCTTTGTTACGATTTTTTTTTGTTGTAGTAAAAGGCAAGTCACGCCGGCACGCGAGCCCTCACGTGATCCCACGTGCTTTATTTATTCTCTCCATACCCAACTTTTTCTTCCTTATTTTTTTTGGCCAAAATATGATATTTGCCAAATTGAAAAAATATATAGTAAAACCTCTATAAATTAATAATATTAGGACCATAAAATTTTATTAATTTAGAAAAATATTAATTTATCGATAAATTAATACTTATTAATTTATAGAGAGATTTTACTAATTTTGTAATTTTTTAAAAAAAATTCTATCTAAAAATAATTTTTTTCTTTATAAACAATACTATAAAAATTAATTATAAGTAGAGAAACAATTATTAAGTTTAAAAAACAACACAAACTTTTTTGAATAATAGAATCATATTTCATCAAACTTTTTACATATAATATTTTAAATATATATCATAGCAATTCATATATAACATATATATATATATATATATATTTTTATATATATATATTGATAAGTTAATATAATTATTAATTTATGATATGGATGGGATCATATGTTTATATGATATTTTCAAAAAAATTATTATTTTATTAAGTTATCGATTTATGTCATATTTTACCTTGGTCCCAACTCGAGATCGGAAAAATTTATTAATTTAGAGAAGTTATTAATATATAAAATATTAATTTATAGAGGTTTTACTGTATATTTTTCAAAAGTTTAGGCTTAAAATTTATGTTACTAACACTACATTAAGCATATGCCAAGATTTATAAATTCAAATTCAATATCTCATCAAGATTTATAACTACATACTAAAAAGGGCTAGCTACTACCAAACTTTGACCAGAACCTAACACATGATGTTATTTTTAGCAATATGAAAAAAAAAAAAAAAAAACGAAAAGGAAAAGGAAAGAATAGATCTTTCTGGTGAGAGCATTACACAACACATTGTTGACACAAGGTATCTAAGGGCATGACCGCACGTGTCAACATGCATCAAACATGCGATC